GGAGAGGACATTGAGCGGGTGTGCGTCTTCGAACGTTGTTGTGCGTATAGCGGCAATACCTGAGCAATGCAGTAGAATGTGACGTGTGGTTAAGTTGGCAGTGTTGCAGAAGGAGCATGTGGGCTGAGGACTTCTTGTAAGAAGGTGTTAGTGTGTGAGGAGAGCATGTCCTAGTCTTAGGCGAACGTAACATCTATTCATCCATGTTGTTGTCGTAGTAGGTAGTGTTACTGACATGCCACTAGGATGCACCTCTTTATATTCATGTTGATACTGTTTCCAGTTCAGGTGAAGGTGAGACTTCAAAGCAGTAGAGTACATCGTTTTAATTGATGAAGTGCCAAACGGATAGAAGGTGTGTAGGCAAAAATGTAAAGCAAACTTCGCAGCTTTGTCAGCATACTCGTTACCAGCTATACCTGCATGTCCAGGGATCCACATTAGCTTTGTATTTGGTGCTAATTTAATGGGCAGTTGTTGAAGATGTTATATTGGACCTATTATATATATAGTGAATGTTTCTTGCAGCTCCGAAAACTGATTGGCTGTCAGTGCAAATAATGACTTTTTTGTTCCCTTCTTTTACTAAATGCAGGGCCGAAATGATACCTCAGCTTCAAAAATGCTGGCGTACTGTGGTAGCAAGCCGAGGGATAGAGTTAAACCGGTATCATTTGTAATAGCGAATGCAACTCCGTTGTTCTGTTTGGTCCCATCTGCAAAGATTAGATTCCACCCACTTTGCATAAGAGGCGTAACTATGTTCAAAAATGATTGTTGGTATGAAGCGTTGCTAGTGTTCTCCTTCCGAAGAAACGTCAACTCATCAATGAAACTACTTTTGTCTATGATCCATGGAGGAAGTTTGGGGTTGGGGATTTTCACGGGGACCATCTCCAGGTTTAAGAGGTCAGCGAGAGCTTTTATCTCACATAGTGCTGATTTGTGTGAGAGTGCCCTTTTTCTTCTCATCAATAGCTTGACTTCATGGTTAAGAATGTTTGTAGAGTTGCAGAACTTATAAATGATACGACTTCGAAGGTTTTTTATACGATCTTCCAATGATTGAAAGCCACTTTCTGCCAGTAAATTTGTGATAGGTGTTGTTCTGAACGCACGTAAACTTCGTCGTATCGCTGCGTGAGACGGTGCTTTAATTTTATTTAACGTAGTCGTATTGCATTTTCCATATAACTGAATACCATAGTCAATTTTGCTTTGTATTATTAAGTAGGGTGTTAGTATGTATACAACTTTTCTTCGACGATAAATATTGTATAATATGTAATCTGGTAGCTATTTCACCTCTTAAACTAATACAATGTTCCTTAAAACTATGTTTGTCGTCAAATATAACGCCCAATATTTTCTTAGATTTGACATTGGATATTTTATGATTGTTGTACTTAATGTCTATCTGATTACCACTACGTTTTCTACAAACATGCAGATGCTTGCATTTTCCGAATGAAACGAGAGCACCTGAATGTGGAGACCATTTTTCTAAAGCCCGGAAAGCTTTTCCAAACGATTCCTCAATTTCGGAAACATGTTTATTACCACATACTAAAAATAAGTCATCGGCGTAAAGGCAATGCTTAATATTTGTCTGTTGACTCATGATTTTGCTAACGTCGTCAAACGCTATTAAGAAGAGAGTGACTGAAAGTGGAGATCCTTGTGGGATACCGTTGAGGNAATGATTGTTGGTATGAAGCGTTGCTAGTGTTCTCCTTCCGAAGAAACGTCAACTCATCAATGAAACTACTTTTGTCTATGATCCATGGAGGAAGTTTGGGGTTGGGGATTTTCATGGGGACCATCTCCAGGTTTAAGAGGTCAGCGAGAGCTTTTATCTCACATAGTGCTGATTTGTGTGAGAGTGCCCTTTTTCTTCTCATCAATAGCTTGACTTCATGGTTAAGAATGTTTGTAGAGTTGCAGAACTTATAAATGATACGACTTCGAAGGTTTTTTATACGATCTTCCAATGATTGAAAGCCACTTTCTGCCAGTAAATTTGTGATAGGTGTTGTTCTGAACGCACGTAAACTTCGTCGTATCGCTGCGTGAGACGGTGCTTTAATTTTATTTAACGTAGTCGTATTGCATTTTCCATATAACTGAATACCATAGTCAATTTTGCTTTGTATTATTAAGTAGGGTGTTAGTATGTATACAACTTTTCTTCGACGATAAATATTGTATAATATGTAATCTGGTAGCTATTTCACCTCTTAAACTAATACAATGTTCCTTAAAACTATGTTTGTCGTCAAATATAACGCCCAATATTTTCTTAGATTTGACATTGGATATTTTATGATTGTTGTACTTAATGTCTATCTGATTACCACTACGTTTTCTACAAACATGCAGATGCTTGCATTTTCCGAATGAAACGAGAGCACCTGAATGTGGAGACCATTTTTCTAAAGCCCGGAAAGCTTTTCCAAACGATTCCTCAATTTCGGAAACATGTTTATTACCACATACTAAAAATAAGTCATCGGCGTAAAGGCAATGCTTAATATTTGTCTGTTGACTCATGATTTTGCTAACGTCGTCAAACGCTATTAAGAAGAGAGTGACTGAAAGTGGAGATCCTTGTGGGATACCGTTGAGGAGCGGAAATGTAGGCGAGAGATAGTTGTTTACCTTACATCGAAACTTACGATTGCTGAGAAAAGACTTTATGTAATTAAAAATATTTTGACCCACTTTCCACTCGTGAAGTTTTTTAAGAACTATATGACAACCAATTTTGTCAAAAGCCTTGGCGAAATCAATAGCAAGGATAGAAGAGTGGTTTTTAGTAGAGATGCTTTTTGAAAGTTGGTGGTCTAAGGCGAGTAAGGCATCCAGAGTGCTGGTGCCGTTTTTGAATCCAACCTGAAATGGCGATAAGAGCTTTTTGGTTGTTAGAAACCACATTTGCCTTTTTGAAATGACTTTTTCCATTAGCTTACTGATACACGGAATGAGGGAGATTGGGCGATAGCTTTCTACATCAGACGAGTCTTTCTGTGGCTTTAGTATAGGTACAATCACGGCTGTTTTGAAACTTTGAGGTGATAATGCCGCTTTTTAGAATGGAGTTGTAGAGCTGGATGAGCCGTTTTAATGAGACTGGCATATGGCGTAACATGCCGTAGTTTATTTGGTCAAAACCTGGAGTTGTACCCTTGGCTGTCTTTAGAGCATAGTCTATTTCGTTAAATCTCTTTTTATTTGTTGGCTGCGGACATAAGCGGAATGTTGCTAGCGGAAGCTATGAACTGCGGTGGAAAGTTAGAGGTGTCCGATGACTTAGAGATATTCTGAGCAAATTCTAATGAAATTGAATTGGAATCAGTGATTATTGTATTATTTATTTTAATTAAAGAAATATTTATTGAGGAGTACGTGCCCGTAAGTGTTTGTAATCCCTTCCATATACTGCGAGTAGAGGATGTGGGGTATAATTTTTCAGTAAACTCTTTGAAACTACGGGTTTTTGCTAGCTTTTTTCCCCTGTTAAACAGGGCATTGCGTTTTTTATAGAGTACGAAATTATCAGGAGAGGGGCACCTTTGATATTGTCTCCAGGCTGTTAGTTTGTCGTTTCGGAGTATACAAAGTTCTGACGACCACCACGGCACATTTCTTGAAGACCTACGACATGAACTGCGCGGAATAGCTATGTTAGCTGCTTTCCGAATAGTCTTTTGAATAATAGCAGCTTCTTTATTGTTTTCGAAAGCAGGTAAGTGTTTGGTTATTAAAAATTGATTACNTTTATAGGGGTTGGAAACGTTAGGGATAAAAAAAGAAAATGAACAAATAATGGGAAAGTGATCACTATTGTGTAGATCCTCAAGTGTATACCAAGCTGAAATGGGAAGTAATTGTGGTGAGCATAAAGTCAGGTCAACGTGTGTGTATGTGTTGTGTGTAGAAAAATGCGTTGGGCTATTATTATTTAGTAAGCACAAATTGGAACTCAGAATAAAATCTTCAACTATTGAACCCCTATGGTTAGTTTTTGGTGAGCCCCAGAGAGGACTCCAGCCGTTGAAATCCCTGCATATAATTACTGGGGTATTAATAGAGGAGGTAAGCCGTAATAAATCAGAGGACGAGATATTTTGATTTGGAGGAATATAAATGGAAACTATAGGGATGGGATGTCTAAATGTGAACTCGACGGCAACTGCTGATAAGTCGGTAGATAAATTGATTCGTCTATGTTGAAGATTTTTGCGAATTAATAGACCACAACCTTGTTTGGAGTATGTAATACTCGGGAAGTTGTGAAAGTGTGCTGTATATTGCTTGGGGAAGTATGGTGTATAATTCGCAGTAATGTGGGTTTCTTGTACACATATTATATTTGGCTTCCGATCTTTTATTAGGGTTTCTAATTCTAAACCTCTAATATTCCATTGGAGAATATTGAGAATCATTTTTATTTATTTATTTACTTGCTGTAAGTGTTATTTTCTTTTAGAAAATAACCTATAGCGTGGNTAAG